GGAAAACCAATCCAAAAGATCCATGTCCAACAACACGCTCAGCCATATAGCTTATTGTCTACACTCGTTTAAAGGAAAATCATATCATCATCAATTTGAAATACAAGAAACTACAAAACGCAGCTATACAAACGGAAGGGGGGGGGAACATTTCAAAAAGTTACCTGTTTTGGTTGGCCATTCTTTCCACCAATAGTTGTGACAATGATATGACCCGCCTCTGTTCCATTACCATCAACAATAGTTGCTTCCATTTCCTGTAAAAGGAAAACAAAAATAAATACAGATTTCAGGATCAGTATAAGCTTGCATAAAATAACAAATATTGGAGATACAAGAATGAGAGAAGTGGCATAGTTTACCTTTTCATCCCTAATTTTCATATGATTCATCTCACTAGGCAAACTATCGACAGCAACTACATTTCCACTGGGGTCTCTAATTCCAGAAGCAGGAACCACACTTACAGAAGCCATGAGCTCAAACAAAAATAACTGAGCGAATCGCCTTCTAGATTCCCCTTCTCAAGTAAATAAAACAAATCAATAATTTACCTGCAGAAAGTATAACGATGCATTAAGGCATTATCCAATAGCAATATATGTTAGAGAGTTATTTCCAAATGTTGCTAAGATCATAAAACAGATGTTCTAATTGGATTCAATCGACGCTGAGACACAGTTCCTTGTATTAATACGTTCCTTTGTTGGTGAATCTATGAACTGTAACTGAATTATTAAACAAGAGGCAAAAGCCAAGCACCGAATGTGAATTTGTTACCAAAACTTCAAAATAGTTAATAACTCAACATTAGATTGATTTAATGAAATCATACCAGAGCTAAAAATTGACAATAAAAGCACAGTTAAATACGTAATGCAAGGAAGCAAATCCAAAACAAAGAAGTGAGCAAGCACAAAACAAAGGGAGGCATTTTCCCTTAAATTAAACGGATGCTGCAGCACAAGGCTCTTATCTATACTTCACAAATTTTAATTTCTGTCACTTTCCTGCAATTTCTTGGCAACCAAACATATCTCAAACACAAACTACACTACAGAAAAGGGCAAAATGAAAATTTTTATTTGAAAAAAAAAAAAAAACAGGATTTGATTTAATTGTACGTACAACAAGCTATTGAGAGAAGCTAAAAATTTACATAGCAAAAAAAGAGAAGAAAAAAATGTAATTGATATGACAGACAAACAGAATATATATATATATATAAAAGCTGGTAAAGGTATGAGAAATAGATGGAGAAAGAGAAAAAAAAGGAATTTTACCGATCTGCGTGAGGGTGCGCCATGAGCAGTGGGTTAGAGTAGATGATGCGATGTGGAATTATGAAAATGTCAATCAGAATCACTCCAATCTGATTAAGATTGATTAGTATCAGGCTACAAGCTATTTACTTGGTTTTGGGTTGTGTTATTGAAACTTGAAACAACCAAAAACAAAAAGAAAGAAGAGAGAGAGAGAGAGATTTGAGATTTGAGATTTTGGATTTTGGATTTTGGAGAAACTACAAAGGAGGAGTGAGGGGAGGGGTTGAGGTTGGTTAATGAAATGAATGAAGAACGGATTTAGTTTGGTTTTGTCTGTTTGGTAAAGAAGAAGGCAGTCAAAACTGAAAAACACAAAGACAAAGAGAAAGAGAAGAGCTCAAACATTTATGTGTGTTTTTTTAATTAATAAATAATATTATTAATCAACCAATTATTTGGTAATATATCTCTTTCTCTCTCTGCCTCGTTCCTCGTTCCTCAAACCTCTCTCTTTCTTTTTTCAACTTTCAACACTCTCCCTCTTTTGACCGGTCAAACTTCAAACTCCTCCCAGGGTGGGGCCTGTCCCTTCCACTTTCAAAGTCTCTCGCTTTGGTAACAAACAATTATTATGGCAGTTGGAGACTTTGGCTGCCCTCCCCATGACTTTCTTGTTTTCTCTCCTCATCCGACTTTTTCTTGCTTTTATCAAAATTACTTTATTATCCTTCATCAGATTCTTTTAGGCCCAACAGCACAAATTCCTTGAGAATACTTGGCCCAACAAGTAACAATCCTCTGGGTTCAGTTCTGGGTCGAAATAACAATCCTCTGGCCCAGTTTGATCATATTCGAATTGGGTCAAATATGATCCCTCAAATCAAACCTTGAATCTCAAGCAGTATATCATATTTATAGTGATATATATGATATAAAGTTTGTGCAAAGTACTAGATGTAATTAAAAGTATTTTATTACTTTAATTACTGCACAATGTACTATGTTTATTTTTTTAAGAAGTAAAGCTGAGGTCATATATATAATTGCTTACACTTTGTAATGTAAGAAAGTAAAGTTGATAATCCACTCAACAAAAAGATTAAGTTACTAATATAAGAAGCTATATGGGATGATGAGTGAACACAAATGAATTACCTATTATTAGTGAGTTGTAAAGAGTTTAACACGTTTGCACATAGGGTGGCACCACAATGGAAAAGTGGGCAAAACTCTCCTTCTCTCTCCAAGTGCACATGGGTTCAATTCACATAAGAGCATTTCTAGCGGGAGGGGCTAGCCCGGGCAAAAGGCCCCTTAGGCGCCCAATCCCGTTTCCAGTTGCCAAGGCTTGCTAGGGCAAGCACTGGGCTCCACCAACCTGAGCAAGGTTCAAGGCAATACTTGTCTGGGTTGCTACCTAGGCAAGATAACTTAATGCTGACGTGAGCAGCCAATTTAAATAACAAAAAAAATTAAAAATTAAAAATTACCCAAATTTTCATATTTTTTATTTATATAAATACTTATTCATATTCTTCACTTCCCACACCAAAATTCTATACAAATTCCTCTCCTCATATCTCATGTGAATAGTGATTGCCCTTAGGTTGCCATGACAATAGGTGGAAAACAACAACAAAATTACTATGACAGGGACTATTCATGTAAATAGTAACAGCTCTTTCCTCTCCTTACCTTTTGCCAAGGCAAATAGGTGGAAATGCTCTAAAAGGCAATCTTAAGACAACTTAATATAATTTTGCCCCTTCTCCCTCCCTAGCAAATGACAAAAAAGAAAGAAAGAGAAGAGTTTAACATGTTTCTCTTCCTTTATCAACCTACTTGCTCTTCCAAACTTTTTTAATGATAAGGGATGTTCAAGCGGAATTAATGGATGGCAGCTAGTTTTCAGATAAGGTAGTGGTTATTAAATTTGTGTTGGATGCGCATAATGAGTGCTTGACATAAATTAATCAAATCATGGGTTTGTAATTGAGGTAAGCAACAATGAATTAGTGAAAGATTTTAGGTTTTGGTGATCCTCAAGGCATTAATTTGCAGGTGTTGGTTTCATAATTAATTATTAACAAATAATTAAGACTGAGGACCATGTACATAGATATTGTTATTAGTGACTTGACCAGTCGGACCACCAAACCAAACCAAACCCACTTGAGCATAATTAAGGGTTGTATTTTATTTAGAGCATAATGAATTTAAAATAAAACAAATGGTGTGTCCAAAAGGAGGCAGGGCACCTAATCACATCCAGTAATAAGAAAAGTAAAGGAAGGAATTTGGTTAGACATGAGATGACATGAGATGTAGGAAGGAGAGCCACGCTTAATGTTGTCGAATCTGCAAAACCCAAATAATTGGATATCCCATTTGTGATGAGATGAGATAAGAAAGGTACGTTACAATAATTTCACCATTGCTTGCTCAGATTAGAATCAACCTTGAAGCCCAAATCCCGAAACAATAAATTCTCATGATGCTTTCTTTCTTATCTGTCAATCATGCAAGGCCTTCAAGTTTCAACGTAGCACATTTTACCAATAATGAGCCAACACGTACATTTTTTACCTAACAAAAGTAGTGATATATCTTAGGTTTCTGTAAACATAATTTACTTATGGAAATGACACTTACGTGCGTTGACATTTTTCTCTAAACTTCCGTATTCTTTATATTAAATATAACAACTCTCTGCTAATTGAATATAATTCAATGAAAAGGGGCATGGACTTACAGACCAGTTATCGTAACACATTGAAAGCGTGTGAGAGATATCATTTCCTAATTTTGACAACAACAAAGAAAGCAATAACTCTTCATACGTCAAATATACTCAATTTCCTTTCTAATCTCTACGTCACTATAACCTAGAGGGAGAAATCCACAAATTGAACCTTTTACTATAACATGATTCTCAAATATGTGTGGATATTTTTAATAATCGGTCCGCTGATTGGCAGTTTGATGCATATATACCCCAATCTGCAAATGTGATCGGTGTTGGCGTGATCGGTTCTATAAGAAGTTGGTTGTGTGGAAGGTTTGCATAGATGAAGTTGTTGTAGAGATTTTAGATTAGAGTAGACCATTTGGACGTGTTGATATCTGACCGTCCAAAACAGCTGGGTCCCACCCATCATTCGAGCAGCGCGTTTGACAAGTTTCATATATAATGAACGAGACATTCAACAAGCAGCGGCTCGACTTTTGTTGTATGCCGTTTTCCCTCTCTAAAGAAAGACCAGGGAAGGGACATTGCCGTCGATTCAAGAAAAAAGGTTCTCTCATTCAACGTCAGCACGCATTCAGCTAAAGCATTGTAATGTGTGAACGCTGAAAATGCCACCAAAAATTCTCCCCGCGGCAACAGCCACGTTTTCCCCAAATTACCCTCTGATGCCACATACACCCCCCCTTCCCGCTGAAAAGTCAACTCGGCAAGTGACAGCTCATTCAAGTTGTTCATTGAAGAAGGGCGTTTAAGTAATTTCCTAGTAACAGCCCTTGCAATAGTCCAAAAGTCACGCGTCAACCTAAAAACCGTCACGTGTCCGTCAAGCGAAATCCATGCTGTTCTCAACAGTAAACTCTAAACAGCTCCTGAAAACCCACACGTGTCCGTGACCCAACAACTTTACCGCTAGCCACCGGTAACCCTTATCACCCAAACAACCCGACCATATAAATACCGGTTCAAGCCAAACTCACTTAATCTTTTGCTGATTCAGCTAAAAAAGAAAGAAAACCGAATAGAAAGTGCGAGAAAAGTCTTAAGAAACCGCGAGAAAATAACAAAAATTATCTGATTCTCATCGTCGTCGTCGTTGTTGAAGTTTTCTTTGAGCTTAACAAAGTTTTGGGATCATTTTCTTAAAGGTGTTTGTTTGTGTGGTATGATTTGATAGAAAATGGTGGCAGAAGCTAAGATTGTGTGTCAGCAGAGCGTGCCCGTTTTGGAGGTTCAGTATTTTGGTAAAGGGACTAATGTTCATGAGGTTGAAGATGTAGTTGCAGTTTCACAGTCGATTTCGCCCAAGAGTTTTGACCGAAATCGTGCTTCGGAATCCGTCTCCGATGCTATAACGAGCTCTCAAGCCGTGAGTTTTCTGACCTTGATGCTCCGCTTTTTGGACCGTTTGATCTTCTAGTTGTCAATTGCGATGTGGTTTAATTTGGTTTTAGGTGATCATGAATCTGGGTTTTTTTTGTTATAGTTTTAGACCTTGAATTTGGTACTTGCGTTGAATTCTTATGGTTTCTGACTTTTAAAATATATAGGGTTTTGTGCTTACTGGGTAGCTGAATTTTGATGGAAGTTTTGCACATAAATATAAGAAATTAGATTGAATTACCTCGTTTTATAATTGAACTACGAAAGTTGGTTCTTACAAGGTAAAGGTTAGTTTTTGTTCTTGTTAGATAACTAATTATTATTTGGTTAATGTGATGATTAAATAAAGGACCCTTAAATAAAATATGCCCGCCTGCTATGGTACTCTGTTACCATGATTCATCAAAACATTAGTTGGGTTCGATGTGGATGAAAATAAATGTTGACTTTTTGCCCATGTGTGATGCCAATTTTCAAAGCTGGCAATTTGTAGATTTCTGGTTCCTTTCAGAACCTGGGCTGTATCAAGTTATCTGTTTGTTATTTTTGGTCTCAAAAAGTAGAGAAAACTGTATTCTTGACATAGAATTGTGATGTTGTGTGAGTGTTGGGTACTTGCAAGTCTGGACGGATGGTTTATATGATGATCTTAGCACTACATAATTATAATTGTGAACAACTATCCGCATTGTTAATGAACTTAAACAAATATGAATTGCATGGTGAATTGAAAATTTGACCTGATTTACATAGGTTTGGAAAATCTTAGGAATGGATACACATCATACATTCTCTTCGTGTCTTATGCCCTCAATTTCTACTGTATAGTTGCTGCTCATTAGAAATAATGCTACCAGGCAGTGTGGTAGTATTTTATATGTGTCAATGGAAAATCTTGGCATTTAATTCCTTATTCTTTACTTCTTTTCAGGATGATAAACCTGCGGATAAAATTCCTGATTTGGCTCCAGAATCGGCTGATCTTCAATTCTTCCCTAGGCTCCGTTCTGGTAGCTTTGCTGACATTGGACCCCGTAGATACATGGAAGATGAACATATACTAATAGATGATCTATCTTCACACTTGGGATCGCTCTTTAATTTTCCCACGCCAAGTGCCTTGTATGGGGTAATAATATCACTTTGGACTTCGAATTGCAATGACCTTGAATTTGGTGGTTTGCTAGTTTTGATGTTTACTGAGGTTGAAAATGTTATATAGGTATTTGATGGACATGGAGGACCAGAAGCAGCATCTTATGTCAGAAAAAATATGCTCAGATTTTTTTTTGAAGATGCCGATTTTCCTCAGATTTCTGAAGTTGATGAGATTTTCTCAGAGGAGCTTGAGAACTCCCTCCGTAAGGCATTTCATCTGGTTGACCTTGCATTGGCAGATGACCGCAGTGTAAGCAGTTCATCTGGGACAACAGCATTAACTGCTATGATATTTGGAAGGTATATCTATGCCTTAGAACTCTTTTTCCTCCCTTCCCGATGTGCCAAAATAACCTGTTTCCTTGGCCTACCTAGGGCTTCATTTCAAATATCTAATATTGATTTCACAAACATATGGTGTTATGTTACTATATCAAGTGTAGTTCGTTATCAAAACTAATATCCCATTTATGATTTGTCAACCTTTTATTTTGATTCAAGTTATGCTGAGTACGAAATTTTTTTTGCATACCTCTTGGCGATTATATATTTTTGTCCATTCTACTTTTTATTCTCTTCGATGGTGATTGACCTTATTATCTTCTTTTTCAGGCTTCTAATGGTAGCCAATGCTGGGGATTGCCGAGCTGTTCTCTGCCGGAAAGGAGAGGCAATCAATATGTCTCAAGACCACAGGCCCATTTATCCCTCAGAAAGGAAGCGAGTTGAAGAATTGGGTGGATATTTTGATGATGGGTATCTGAATGGCGTCTTATCAGTAACCCGAGCATTAGGCGACTGGGACATGAAGTTTCCTCGTGGTTCTTCATCACCCCTTATTGCCGATCCAGAGTTCCGGCAAGTGGTTTTAACAGAGGATGATGAGTTTCTCATTATAGGGTGTGATGGGATTTGGGATGTGATGTCAAGTCAGCATGCAGTTAGCCTTGTTCGACGTGGGCTACGGCGGCATGATGACCCGGAGCAGTGCGCAAGGGATCTTGTTATGGAGGCTCTTCGCCTCAACACGTTTGATAATCTCACTGTGATTGTGGTATGCTTCTCCCCTCTTGATCATCGAGAACCATCACCACAGCGGGAACGAAGATTTAGGTGCTGCAGCCTCTCTGCGGAGGCCCTATGTAGTTTGAGGAGCTTGTTGGACAGCAGTGCCAGCGGTTGATTGTAGATATAATTTTTCAAATAAATGTCTCCCTCATACATTGTTTTGGCTGCTTCAGTCATGAGATAAAACAGCAGCTATCAGTTTTGTAGGTGTTCAGTGAGCTCTGGGTTGATGTACATACATAAGAAGGGGGACGCGGATGGTGATTGTGTTGTAAAAAGATGTATGTTCATACATTTTTTAGTTTACAGTACAGAGTGATTGGTTCATCCGATATAGTCCATTTCTAATCCTCTCATGTGTATTTATTTTATGTATATTATTTGGATCTTCGTTTCTTTTTAGCTCTTCCTCTGCTTTTGTCCTTTTAGCACTTGGCTCTCAACAATGTAACCCCTAATATATGATTAGCATTTGACAAGCTACTAAGTGATTTTCTATAATTCAATGAATTATTTCTTTCTTTCTTTTTTCCCCGTGTCTTTTGGTGCTTGATTTTAAAAAGATGGGACAAATCTAACAGGGATTTTTTAGCCAACAGGAAAATCCTCACAGGGCTTTTATGTCTAATACCTGACTTCCATTAGTGTAACTTGCAGAAAGAGAGATAGTGAACCATCCATTTTCTTCCGTATCAAGGTTGATTGATACGATACATGGAAGGATAAACAAGTCAAGTAATCCATTCATAAACAAGTCAAGTAACAAAGATTATGTAGGCTCCAAGCCTAAAGGTATCATAATTTCTATAGTTCTTTTTCTTTTGGGGAGTGATATACAACAGAGAAAGCCGTTCGTTTAGGAGATGGCCATTGCCCCAAATGATCTCACAAAGATCTTCATTGTGCTGCTTTTGTTCTTCAGCAAGAAAATCATTGGTATTACAACTGATAACAAATTAAATGATAGCACATTGATATTATATTTCATTGGAAACATTTGCCACGTTAAAAGAATTCGTGACAATCAGGGTCGATTAACCTTTTGAACTGTTATACCGTCGAGTCTGATTTGTAGCTTTTTGAAAATGTTGCAAACCTTTCCAAGCCACGTCCAAGTAAACTTTCAAGAAAAGGTTGCAGTGCCTGGAGGACGTCATATCAGAAATCAGAATGATGGATTATTTCATCCCACGTCAATTAAACAACATTTTGTTATGTTCTGTAAGCAATGCTATCAAACAAAATCTTTATATTTGAACTGATTTTCAACTGTGTGGGGTCTCCCAACTAGAGAATGTATAATATCTAAACCATAGTTAGAACACTTACTGATGCCACTGGAGCCAGGATTGGAGGAACTTCATAAGACACGGTTAGCTGAGATTGAAAAACGATAAGAGCACTATGAGATATACAACATGGAAAAATCAGAAAGAAAGTTGCTCTTTTCCTAGTTTCCATTACTCAGAGAAACCTAGAACAGGAAACCATGTCAATGCATATTATTTTGTGTTATACCAATCCAATGAATGTCCGTCCAGGCCATTCAATTGATCGCCAAGGATGGAGCAAAAATTATAAATAATCTAATTGCAAATTATTGATCTCCCCAGCGTGGCATCAATTGCATGGCATTCTGATGCCTATAAGAGGCATTGAACGCTGTCAAACTGTCGCTGATCAGAGACAAGCGTGTAAAGAAGATTCATAACATAAAAAAAACCTACAACTGCAGAAATTCAAAGTCAATATTTGAAAGAGCAGCCTCACTTCTACTAGGCATGATGAAGGACCTTTTGGATAAAACCGGACAGCACCTCTGCCATGCAAGTAAAACAGTTTATCAAGATTCTCATATCAACATAGAAAGCAAAAGAAATAGCGTCTACTTCATTTGCATACAATATACAAACACAACATTTAACATTCCTCCCTCATTATTATATTTGCAACCTTAATAACATGAGCATCAATGTCTGTGCTGCACCAGACAGTGACTTCCAGATAATTTAATAAACCAGAAATCAAACAATTTACACTCTTTCATCAAGTATTCACTCCCTCTTATGAAACCTAAGATGTCATCTTTGAGCTTTTGCTAGAGATGGAACCAGGTAGCTTCTAGCTTACTTAGCTACACCAACCAAGAAACTACTTTCAACACTGAAATTTCATACGTATTTTTTTTCAATAGTCTGAGTTGAAGGAAGTTGAGGTTCCACCCCAAAACCAACTGGCAATGAGGGGAGTAGCCCAACTCCTTATAAGCCCTTGCTAGGTTTCTTAACTTTCCAATGTGGGACTCTTTACCTTCACATTCTCACACGCCCCCGCACGTGTGGCGAATTTTCAAGCCTAACACGTGGACAACACATATTGGGGGACGTGGAGCACGTGTGGCCATTGGGCTTTCACACGTGGGCTAACATGCTCTGATACCATGAAGGAAGTTGAGGTTCCAACCCAAAACCAATTGGCAATGAGGCGAGTAGCCCAAGTCCTTATAAGCCCTTGCTAGGTTTCTCAACTTTCCAATGTGGGACATTTCACCTTCACATTCTCACATGAGTTACCATATTTCCTTGGTAGATTTTAACCAAATAACTAAACGTGATTTGGTAATTTGTTTTATAAGCTCTAGGATGACACAATATACAAGCATCAACACTACATAAACCCCAATCAATTATGAGAAAAGTGCTTATAATGCATTCTTTCCAAATGTTTCATCTAAAGCCCTAAAAGACACATTTATAATATTGAGCAAAAAGGCTACTTAAGTACACAGTTTCAACTTTCTTCTAATATTTCTCTTCTTCTCACCTGTTAGGAAGACCTTCCAGAGATCTCCAGTGGATTTTCTGATTCGGTATAGGCTGCACAAAGGTATTTACACAACAGTGAGAAAGGGAATATTGTAAGGACACATCATTTCTCTTACAGTTGATGGAGGAGTTGTGGAAGGAAAAACAAATTTTAACTAAAACATAATTCTTACCTGCATATTTCGAGCAAGCCATGAGAACTCAATATCACGGCCAAAAGCTTTATACTTAAGTGACCATCGTGATAGGTTAGGCTTGTCTTCCAATATCTGTTTTTATAAAGCAGTATATCAAATATCAATCTTCTAAAAATGCGAAACTGAACCCATGATCAGCCAAGCTGAAAAATATTAGCTACAACATTTTACTCTTAAGGAATCAAACTATAGGACAATCAATTATTCCCTCACAATCAACAGACTCATCAACATTTCACTGCTTGACAATAAAATATAGGCTGTAAAAAACATTATTGGGTTGCAACAAGTATTGATACAAGTGGATATATGTTACATAGCACCGGAAAGAAAAAGCAAATTTGCTTCAAATATAATTAGAGATCATCTAAAGAGCATCGGGAGAGTTGTTTAGCACCTTCACAGTTGAAATAAAGGGCATCCAACGGGGAATTGCCTCACGATCAGAGTAGCAATCATAAGCAACTGAAATTGGCACATCAATTTCCATCTTTACTCTGCATTTTATCACATTATTAGTAAGGCTTTCATTTACTGCCCGAATTTAGAGCAGAAAGGTGCTAGACCTCACTCCAAGCACTCGTTTGATACTACTTATGATTTTTCATTGGGTTCTGAGAAAGGATTAAGCATCATAAGAAGCATCAACTTAATAAACAGGCAGGGCATTTTCCAGGTAAAATATATGTTGAATAAGAACCACTTACTAGTGGAAACATTTGATTACACAAACCTAATAAGACAGAAATAAGAATAATACTAATTTGAACTACGGTGACAACAGTTCTAATAATCAAAATTAAAATACAAACTAGAATATAAGAAGGGAAACCCTCCAATCAAAAGGGAAAGATACATACTAATTGATATTCAATTCTGAAGAGTATGGATTATCAGTAACTATTTTGTATTTTCTAATGTGGATTCAGTCTAAGCAATCATTGAAGCTCCATTATACTACCAATTAACTATTTCTTGATAGCCTGATTGTATGACTGATGAACAAGAAAAACAGAGACAGATAAAAAAAACTGGAGTATTATAAAAGCAAAGCAGAGGTGGCATTACGTGCAGTCCTGCCATTGCATAACAGGGGTGAGGGTTCTGAATCCAGTGAGGCTCGAGCTTCGCTTTAAAGACCCACATGGGATTTTGAAGGAGATGTCACTGAGAGAAGGTGGTGGTGGTCTCAGAGAAGAGCTTCTCCAAATGGGTATGTGGCTGAGACTGCTGGGACAGTTTGGGCTTGAAATGCAGGCTGCTAGAGCCGTTGCACAAGCAGAAGACATGGTCAAACAAAAAAAAAAAGAGCACGAATTATAAAGCAGAAGAAAAGCCGTGAGAGATACAAAACTGAAAAGCAAGTAACATGTCGAACTCAGAAGTCTCAAGACCACAAAATCACGATCACGGATTCACAGGGGCACGAGTCCGATTTGTCCACCTCTCTGGTTTGTTGCCACCGGACTCCATTTGGATATGGGCCTCATTCATGTCTTATTCTACTTGCACAAAAAGGCCGGATCCAGATTTTTGGTCACAAACAAACCTTCATCCTTCGTCCATTTAACCCAACGCATCAAAAGCCCTGAATTACTGGCAAACCTTGCGCCATTTTGTAATTTTGAGATACTGGCAATAAAATGTCGTTTGATGTATGGAAACGGGCTCACTATTCTAATAAAATTCTCGTATGTTGGTGTTTTAAAATTTTAAAAATTCATGCGTATTGGTTACGGAGATCGTTTTGCACTTAATTGTGATAAATCGACCTCATAGACCCTGATTGATCACCCATATATTTTTGTTTAATAATTGTGTTTTAATACTTGCTTTTGAGTTCATTCGAGTATGTTTGGGTATTAGTTTGGTTTGTGAAATTATGAATTTAGAATTCAGGATTTGTTTTAATTTTTTATTCATTTATAAGGATACATTTCTGTAACTGTGGTGCGGTAGTGCAATGACATGGCTATACCCAAATCTATCAACCCTCTATGCCGAGTGAAGGACAATAATCAAAGGCAACAAAAATATGTTGAAAGCTTTTGAATACGAAAAATATTAGTCATATTCATCCCCGTGACTGAGGCGATTGCCCCTAAAATTTGATCAAACGTGTAGACCACTGTGTACTTATGGTGCCACTGAATCTAGACTACTGTTAGCTGCACAATTTTCTCAAATCAAATCTTTATATTGGTTGGTAATTTGGTATGATCTGATAGTTGACATACACTGTTCCCAGTCCCCAAAATTCTCTGTTTTTTAAAAAACAGTTACTCAGTCGTGTGACGCTTGGGTGATTATAAGCCACCAATGCATCTGAATTATGCTATGCATCAATATCAGTCGGTCACGCACACGTGGATGACTGAGTTTAACTCTCCTCGTCTTTGAAAATTTGAGCAGCCTCTCAAATCAGATTCATGAATCATGATAATGGCGGTCGTTGCC